GGCCGGCGCCTCCCTGGGGGCCCGGCTGGTGCTGGTGCTGGTGCTGGCGGCGGCGCGCCTCGACGGCCCGGCGCCCCAGTGCGCGCGCCCAGGTGAGCCCGCGCGCCCCCCGCGCCGCCCCGCCCCGCGCAGCGCCGCGCAGTCAGCGCGGGCTCCGTGCTGGGGACGCGGAGGCTGCGCGCTTCCCCCGCTCTCTCCCGGGTCCCGCTGCACCTTGCGAAGCGCCCCTCGGGCCGGGGCTGCTTTGGGGGGCGGCGCACAGCTGCGAGGGGCGCCCTCGCTTCTCCAGGACTGCGGGGGCACTAGGCAAGTAGTCAGGAGCGGTGTGGCGTAGTGGTTGCAGCAGCCTCCCCTGACTGGGTGCCCTCCGGCTCTTGGGCACTTCGTTTGCCCAAGTCAGGCGCCCCATGCCCAGGAATCCTGGGAGCTGTAGTCCAGAGCCGCAGGAGGGCTGCAGGGTGGTGGGGACCGGAGTGGGACTGGTGTCGGGCGACAGGTGAGACGCAGACCTGCCCTGTAAAGCCGGAGCGGCCACGGCGCCCCATGCGCGCTCCTGGGCCAGTCACTGCCTCTCAGCCCACTGCCTTACCTCGCAGGGTTGTTGTGAGGATCCCCATTGAGCAAGAATGGCTTCTTGTGCGGAGTGGTCTTTGGCGGGCTGGCTAGCTGAGCGAAACGGTCTCTCAGGTTTGGAGGAAAATACTTGGGGGTTAGGCTGTCCCAGGCATGAGGAATGCAGAAGGGAACCCTGGAGGAAACAACTAGAATCAGGATTCCTAGGTTCCCTTCCTGTTTCTGGGATTAAGCTTGGGAAATCCAAGCCCCCGTTTTTGGAAGGGAGAGAGTTATAATAGATAAAAGGGGGAAAACTGCGGTTTCTGGGCTATCATGCCAACTCTCTCTGATTAGTTTGAAAAAGACAGCATCTCTCTCTCTCTCTCTCTGGAAGGGGAAGCCTGGGGGGTGGGGAATGCCAATGAAAAATATTTTATATTTGTCCTATATATTTCAAAAATGTAGATTTGCATCGTCAGGGGCCGCTAATAATCTGTAAGTCATCATTGTTTTTCGGCGCCAGGCTAAGACCTTTTTATTCAAACAATATTTTAACGTGTAATATTTATAGGTTTTAATTGTGCAGCCAGGGAGTTTCCGGGTTTTAATTGTATCTCTATTATATTTATTTATTTGTGTGAGCTGTCCCGAGGCTATATAGCAAGGGGACGGCATACAACAACTTTAAATAAATAAATAAAAAGGTAAACGTAAAGGTTTCCCCATGACATTAAAGTCCAGTCATGCCTGTCTCTCGGTGGCAGTGCTCATCTCCGTTTCCTGGCCAAGGGAGCCAGCGTTTGTCTGCAGACAGTCTCCGTGGCCGTGTGGCCGGCATGACTAAACACCGAGGTGCACGGAACGCTGTTACCTTGCCACCGAGTGGTTCCTTTTTATCTACTTGCATTTGCATGCTTTCGAACTGCAAAGTTGGCAGAAGCTGGGACAGTACGGGAGCTCACCCTGTCTGCGGATCCGAACTGCCGACCTTTCGATCAACCAGCCCAGCAGCTCAGCAGTTAATGCCTGCCTATTTGTTATTCCAACTTCAATCCTGAAAAGATTGAAAGTTGGAATTACAAAAGCTGTCACACTGCTGGGGTTGGTTATTTATTTATTTATTTATTTATTTATTTGGGGAACTTCCATGCCACCCCATTCGCCGAAGCCTCGGGGCGGCTCACAAACATAAATAAATAACATCCTATAAAACAATATAAATTAAGTCGCCCTGGCCAAAGAATAAAATAAATAAATAATATTAACAATTAAAATAACGTTTGAATAAAAAGGTCTTTGCCTGGCACCAAAAAACAAATAACGACGGCGCCAGGCGGACCTCTCTGGGGAGCGTATTCCATAGATTGGGCACCACTGCAGAGAAAGCCCTCCTCCGAGTACCTACCCTCCTAATTTCCTTCACGGAGGGTTCCCGGAGAAGGGCCTCTCCTGCTGATCTCAAGGGGCGGTCGGGCATATATGGAATTGTTTCTACCCAGTCTTGGCACATGTGGAATCTAGGCAGACCTAAATCCAGGCTGGCTGTCAGGGCTGACGAATGATCCCGGAAGAAGTGGCTGGAGGCCCCGGTGGCTGAGTTCCTCTACTCCCGATGATCAGAATTAGAAGGTCCACAGTTAAAAGAAAAGGGAAGGTTGAAATCTGGTCTCTAGGATGTGCAGCGTGTGCACTTTCTTTCTAACTCTGCCTTGGGGTCAGGGTTCAGCCAAGGACCAGCCTTTGCAGCCGTGTGTTTTGGACTTCAGCTCCCATCAGCACTGGCCAGCATGATGGGAAGGGCACTCAGAGGAGGCTCTCCGGGTTGGTGACCCCTGTGGAAACAGAGGGGAAGGCTGAGCTGGAAGTGTGTTTATTTATCTCATTCCATTTCTATGCCACCCCGAATAATTCGAGGTTTCTCTGGGCAGCAAAATCCATAGATTACAACCATGGCACAATAAAATTATAAAACCACACACAACTTGATAAACCGAACCGATAAATCAACATCCAAAAATTAGATAAATACTCAATAACCAATTATAAATTAAATAACTTACATTCAATTTATACTTAATACTCAATAACCAATTATAAATTAAATAAATGCACCAAAAGCTTCTTTGAACGAAGAAGTTTGCACCTGGCATCTAACGGGAAGCGGAGTGAATGAGTCTAGAGAAGAGCTGAGGCGGAGAAGGAAGTGGTCGGAGTTGTGAACTTCCAGGGTTTCTGTCTGGTTGTCCCGTTTGCAAATGTCGCCTCTTCGTTACACCCGAGAGCATTTGTGCACTGGAAAGCTCCGTGTAACACTCCGCACGCACTAGCTCCACTCGCACACTTGGGATGCAGCGCGGAATTTAATTCCACACGCACCTCTTGAGCTGGCCTGAGATGCGTGCTTGGGGCAGCCGCCTTGTCCTCCGGCATTTCATGCACGTGTGAGCTGTCCGTGACACACAAAACTCAGGTGTGGTTTTACCTGACCTGGAATATGTGCCAGGGAGATGCCAGCTGGAGTTTGGCCGGTTAGCCCAGACCAGGGAAGTCAACTCTGAAGTCTCTGCTTCTATCAGTTTCTTTCTTCTTCCTGTTCTTTGATTTCAAGTTTTAAAAATGGAACCCCGAGCCTCGAAACCAGTGGCTTAGGGGGCCGAAAGAGTGCAACTTAGCGTTCTCTTAAGAACCAACAGACTTTCTGCTTCTTTCCCTCCCTTCCCCCTTCAGACAGACTTCCCCAGCCAGGCACCCGCCCTCCCCCCAGTGGTGTTTGACTGAGGTGCCCATCATCTCCCAGCAGATGATGGGGATTGTAGTCCAGCAAAATCTGGATGGCAGCTCTCTGGGGAAAGCCACTGTTCAAGGAGCAAAAAAACGCTTGCCTTGTGTGACTTCTCTGCTTTTCTGGTGCATTGCTCTGCCTGGCAGGATCAGCCTCCTGATCTTTCCCTGGGTGCGGCTGGACCTTATTTCTTATCTCTTTATTCTTCATATTTCTGGAAATGGTTCCCATGCTTTTCATTTCCCTTGCGTGGGAGATGGGTGCGAGAAGAGCTCACTGGGGTGTAGTGAGTTCCCTTTTCGGTTTCAGTAAAAATGTCCCAAGGGGATTAAGCCCATTCTTCGTGTAGCAACACACGGTGCTTGCATGTTTCTCATGGTGTGAAGCACCCGGAGGCAAGCAGGAACTCTTGGACTGCAACTCCCATCAGGCTGGCCAGTGAAGCTTATGGCAATGAGTGATGGAAACTGCATTCCCACAACATTTTGGAGGGCCAACAGTTGTCTGCCTTCAGGGGCAAAGTTTTTGTGGCCCTGGCTCCACTTCATCAGGTGTATGAATCGTTATTCATGGTTTATTATCGAACTGAAATACTCCGGGCCAGGCACCCCCAGTGCTGGGGATTAGCGGGTGCCTGTGAGTCTTGCTTGGCTGGGTACCAGCTGTCCTTGGCGAGAGACCAAGACGGCAAACGGGCGGCTGAGGAGGCCGCTGTTTGCTCAGACCTGTTGACGGTTCATCCGGTCAAGTTTCATCAAAGGGGGACCGCTTTGTGTGTGTCTACCTGCGCATGCGTGTATGTGGGAGCCGACGTCTGTTCGCTCGTGTGTCGGGACATTCAGCTCCACAAATGGCCTTCCCCTGAGCCGCTCGCCACCCCCAGCCTGGCCTCCGTTCTTCCCAAAGAGACAGTTACGCAACTGCCAGAGAGTTGTCTCTTATCGTCACCGCGTTTCTCAGAACACGTGAGTATGGAGTTACTCAATGGAGCTGCTTGGCTGTAGTTTCACAGCTGACTAAAGGAAGGAGCATCATCAGCTGCAGAAGGACGTGATGTTCTTGCTGTAGTCCGTCTGTTTGGAGCTCCGTTGGGCTGGTTTCTGGGCTGTTTGCCAGCAGAATGGCTTCTGCACGGGCCAGAAATCGGCAACACTGACCAAAGCAAGCCTCAGTCCTCAACATGGCGCCGCTGATTTAGCCAAAGCGCAAAGGAGCCACGTGCAGAAGGTGAAGGCTTGGAGACGGCAATTAAAATCCAGCACAACGTCTTTAAGAGAAAGCAGAACCAAACAAACATTACCTAATATAACATCACTTTGTTTTCGAGGACTTTCCAGAAGCCAGAAAAGTGGAAATTCCTTTTGCAGCGCTGTCTGCTTGTGGCTGCAGCTGGAATCATAAACCAGCTGGGGGGCTTGATTAGCTCTGGCCAGTTGGACGGACAAAGTGGTCCGTCCTCTCCCACTTTGCCCTTGCAACAAATATTGACAGAAGGCCACCTTGGGCTCCGGGAAAGGTTTTCCTAGCAACGGTGGAAGGGACAGGACGAAGGCTGCAGCGAAAGCCACTGTTCCCCTGCACCAGTGCCCGGAAAGCCTCACAGTGCGATGGAACAATTTATCTGAGAGAATCGTCGTTTTCTGGCCTCTGCACTCAGAGCAAATTGGTGGCCGCCGGTTTTTACAGGATAAAATATTTTGGTCATGTGGCAGGCTAGAGTTGAGGGAGTAGATTATTCTTATGCTATATTTAATTTGCTCTGTTTCATGTCTGTCCAATAATAAACATTTTCTGGGTGAATGAGGAATGTTCAAAGATTAGAATTGTAATACAGAACAACACGAACATCAGAGAGATAAAAGAGCCATGAAAAGGCAGGGTGGTGTGCTAGTCCAAGAGTTAGACTGGGAATCTGGGTTTAAGTCCCAGCTCAGCCATGCAGCTTATTGGGTGACTCGCTCTCAGCCTGGCCTACCTGAGAGGGTTGTTGTGAGGATAAAAAGGGAGCCGAGAAGGACTATGCAGACTGCCTTCAGTTCCTCACAAGAGGAAAAAAGGCAGGATATAAATGCAGTGGTGATGATGACGTCATAAAATTTAACTTGCCAACTCAAAAATGCCTGAGAGGAAAGCTTTGCCTTCGCTTCGCACTGACAAGATAACGGAGCAGGGAATTCTGAAAAGTTCCTTCCGCTTAGAGTCGACCGCCTGACCTCTCTCAGCAGCAAAGTGCAGAGAGTGGTCTCAAGAAGCTGCCGTTGAAAGGCTACGGCCGAGTCCGTTACCTGGATAGACCATCTTTTGCCCCTTTTTTGCCACGTTTCCGCTTTGGTGTTCATCCCCCCATCTGTTAATTTCGTTTCTTGCAACCTGTGCAAACCGTGTGCATTTTTGGTGCTGCTTTCCCCTGAAGAGGCACATTTTGTTCTTCAGCTGGTGATACGTTTCTCCCCCGAGAGTATTTTCTGCTCCCTTTCCCCTCGCGTGCATTTCAAGCACAGTTTTCTTCAGTGCGTTCCATTTTGCATAAACTCACAACCTCTCCTGCAGCATTTGGAAGGGCGTGTGTTTTCGGGTGCAGCTGTGTTGCGGATCGTGTGCAAATACTGCAAGCGGGAACTGGGATGTTTGCATCCAAAGGTGAAGTGAAGGAAATTCCCACCCATCTGCACTTTCGAGGAATGTCACCTTTCCACATGGATCTGAACCCTCGGGTGGGTCTGCCTGAAGGCAAGCAAGGGACACGAAATGGATGCTCCAGTGCAGAGTTAAAAACTGGAGAATCCACTTTTGTAGCACAGCAGGATGGACACCAATTCAAGCAGCTGTAAAGGGGACAAACTCCTGGAATAGAAGGGTATTTGTGGCTACTAGTCCTCATGGGAATATGCTGCCTCTAGTATGCACCAGTTGCTGGGGAACATGGGAGAGAGGGTTTCACTCCTGCCTTGCTTGGGATAGCCAGTTGGCCATTGTGTGGATGGACGGCACGGTCTGATCTCACAGCTCTCTGTGGGAGAGCTTGGCTTGCCATGTTGGTATGTTTTGAAGTCTCGGTAATACGTGCTAGGAAAGCCTTATTTTTCTGGGTTATTTCTAATCCAAAGATCAAACACCGTTTTGCTTTTGCATCAGATAAAGAGTGAATTTCTAATCCCAGCATCCCAACCAGCAGGACCTCCCGTGGTCTTCCCAGTCCACCTAGACGGGAGGGAAATCCGGCAGCCCCGCTCATCTTTCCTTCTTCCTTTGCAGCTCCATCACCTGATATGATTGTTGCCCGGCCGGGGGCAAACATTTTCCTGCCCTGCCTGGAGAAGGGCCCGGGGAATGCCTCCAGCGTGCAGTGCAAATTCAAGGGGCAGAACTTGAGTTTTCCCGGGAAAGTGGTACCCGAGTCCAATCTTTCTCTGCTGTCTGTACCCTACAACTTTTCCGGCCGCTACTCCTGCCATGCCGGGGACCGTGTCCTCTGTTCCCATCATCTGATCCTAGAAGGTGAGTGAGGCCTGAGCATCACAGAACCAGAGTCTGCCGGGATGAAGCACCAGGACTTTGATGGGCAGAGAGCCGAGGCCCGCTGCCCTGGTGCACTGCCTGGTACCCCTGCCATCCTGAGGGTCTCTGGGGCTAAGCGATTTCCTGGCAGCCATCCGTGCCGCTTTCATGCAAAGTATTTTGGGCAGGCCTGGTCTGGAATGGGCAATTCAGCCCCCTTTGCTTCCCGGAAGTCCTTCTTCTCGCAGAAGGATGTGGCTAGAATGGGTTTATTGATACAGATCGGATGGAGGAAGGCTGCCTGCAGTGTTGGGTTCCCCGGAGGTGTCAAAAGTACACCTCAGCTACTTCTATCAAACTTGGGAATCTTTTTATTATTGGCTAGAGAAACGGGACTTCACATAGATCTAAATATGTTTTTAAGTTATCATAAATGGAAAACGAAGGGTGTGGGGGCTGAACTCGCGGACTCGATGTTTTTGATGATGAATATTGCTTGTAGTTTTTTTTTTCTTGTTAGGATGGATGTTGTTTGTAGTGTATTTTTTGTTTTTTTGTTTTTTTAGGATTATAATTTCAAATACAACTTATTTTAAAAAAAGAAAGAAAGTACACCTCAGCTCTGAATAGGAGCGGGAAGCAACCTGCAAATAGGTTCCACCAAATCTCAGCCGACCTTTGATATCACGTCTTCCCTTTCCTGATGCCTGGGCCCTCTTGGGCTTGGGCATGGGTGCCTCTGAGCCTGTGCAGAGCGCCCTGCCCGTGTGCTGACAGGCCTTTCTCTGCTTCCAGAGCCTCCTGAAGTGCCAGATTTCATCTGCCACCAGAGGAGCTTGGCTAAGTACATTTTGTGTGAGTGGAACGCCTCGCGGCCGGTGTCGCCGCGCACCAAGGCCAGGCTGTGGGTGCAAACAGGGTGAGTGATGGGCGTCACACGTGGCATCGAAGCAGAATCTGGTCGCTGGCTGACACACCGGGGGACTCCAGTTTGGGGAGCTGTGGAGGAGAAGCTGATCGTTCTTTTCTTTTGTGCCGTTACAAACATGAAGGCATGCAAATGCTGGCCACAGATTTGAATCTGTTTCCTGGCTGCCAATGCAAATTCAGAAATGCAGATTTTCAGAGAGTAGCGTGATTGTCCTTGTCTAAGTAAAAAAACAAGATGCAAGCTCAGCTGGGGCTGCAATTTTCTTCCTTGTTATTAAATTCGGGGGATTTTTGGGGGGGTTGGGGTGAGTCCTTTTATAGGAGACACTGGATCAGAGAATGGACTGTGTTTTTTCTAGCCGTGTTGGGAAGCACACAGAAATGTTGCTCCAAGGGGAATTTCTTATAAGACTTAAGGATGGTGCTTTACTAGTGAGGGGCTCCAACTGAAAGGTTTGGGGGTCCAGCCCTAGCAGGCCATGCCCGAACCATCCGGAGAGGCAGGATGGTAAACCGTGGCTCCGTCACGGCGATTCCACACGAAGCGGGGCTGATTGCCTCAATACAACTGGATTCCTTGCTGGTCAGTCTTGACGCACGGATGCAGGCGAAAGATCTCAGCAGACGGATCGCTAGATAGCGGCCGAAGCTGCTTTGCTGTTCACGGGGAACCTCAGCTGGGGTTCAGATTCGGATCAAAAGCAGCTCACACGATCCTGAGACTGTGAGGCGTCCCCTTGCTTTGGAAACATATTCAAAAGCGAGGTTCCAGGAAGTTGGACCCTTAAGAGCTAAGCTGCTGTTCTTCCTCGGGCAGGATGCCAAGAGTTGAATAAGCAACCCTGGGCTAGAAGGACAAATGGCACCAAGTGAGTCCGCACTCACTGTTTATTTATTGATTTATTTATCAGATTTATATCCCGCTTTTTTTCTTATGAACCCTAAGCGGCTTACCTCATTCTCCTCCTCAAAGTCTCCGAGCGGAGACTCAAACCCGGGTTTCCTGGGTCCCAGTCCGGCCCTTTTGCACGTGGCACCCTTTTCATGTGCTGCAAAGGCTTCTGGGAGGGCTCTTTCCCACTTGCCTGCTTCAGTTAATTCTGGCAAGTGCTTATACGTGCGTCTTTCTCTTTCTCCTGCTCTGCCCTGATAGTTTCAGAGGGGAAAACTACTCCGAAGAACAGTGCCGCTATTACAAGAAGTCCCAGAAATTTTTTTGCCGCCTCACGTCCGTGAACAACGAAGACGACATCTTGGTGTTTGCATGCGTGGCCAACTTGGCGGGTGCTGTGAGCAAGGAGAAATTCCTAAGGGCCGACACTCTGTGTACGTAACCATTGTGAGTCCCTGCATACACACCTGGTGGGTGTCGTGTTGGTCGAGCTGCTGGGCACAGACAGTCGATTTCTCTGCACCTGCCACACGCCTCCAGATCCTGGCATTGCAAAGTCTTCATGTTATTTTCTGAATATTTAATCCAAATTTGGCCCTTCCTGGGTATGGGCCCCCCTGCCGGGGGTGTGGATGGCCACAGCCGTTGCCCCAAGCCCCACTTCCTCCTGCGTCGCCAGGTTTTGCATGGGCTCCTCTCCTCTTGCTGGAAGGCCCACGAACCCTCCCCGAAGGCAGATTGCAAAACTCTGAGCTGCCAGTTCAGGGGCGTCAGTTCTGGTTGTGGCCCCGCCCTTCTGCCTTTGGCCCCGCCCCCCACGGGGGTGCGCCCCATGTGGGTTTCTCCCAAATGGAGTTAAGCCTGTGGGCTGGAAGAGCTTCTGCATTGCAATTTCCTCTCTGTAGGCTTGGGTGAGCCCTTCCCCCGGAAATAGCAGGTGTGCCTTTTTGTACAAATTAACCCTGTGATTTAATTAATGCCTCAGCCTGGGTGGGAGATCCCACGGAGGCTGTTCCTGCAGGACCATTGACTGGGAACACAGGCCCACCCTCCTCAGAGGTCGTCACGTGCTTCTAGTCCTCTGGGCGTCCCGCTTGTCCCAGTGGGAAATGGATGCTGTGCTCTTTTCTCTTGCCTGCAAACCTTTCTGGTGGATCCTCTCCCTTCCCTCCCACCCCTTGCAGTGAAGCCAGACCCCCCAGCGGACATGGTGGTCGGTGCCATGGAGAAGGCCCCCCGCAGACTGCACGTGACTTGGCGCGATCCGCCGTCCTGGGGCTCGACCTTCTACCGTCTTCAGTTCCAGCTACGCTACCGGGCAGAGAACTCGCACACGTACTCTGAGGTCTGGCTTGAACCGCTCTCTCTCAGCCCCAGCCAGTGCTCATGGACATGCTGGCCCCAAACATCTGGAGGCTCCCAGGCCCCGAGGGAGGGCAGAAAGGCATTCTCCAGATGTTTCTGGCTTGGGCTCCCGGAGTTCCCGAGTGCCGGTCACACTGCCTGGGCTTCTACCTCCTGGATGGCATGATCCATCCACCTGGCTTGGGATCCGGCTTCCAAAGCAGAGTGTGACTCGCCTCGGCCACAGAAGAGAAACTGAGGCCCTCCAGAGGTTGTTGGACTCCAACTCCCATTCCCCTCAGCCAGCATCACCCAAGAGCAGGGCTCATGGGAGCTGATGTCCTGCGAGGTTGCACCTCTAGCTTCTGCCCGGCCCTGGGTCAGGACTTGGACCCCTCTGGAGCTCCTTGTGGGGCTGGAACCAGAACAGCTGCCCTCGTAGTTGTAGGATCCGTCCAGGCCCTGCTGGAGTGCTCAGCCTCCTGCGGGGAGACCTGAGCTCTTCCCCCCGGCAGCTGCCTTGGAAATGCCGCTCTTCCAGCCCCACTTCTCGCCGGACCCTCGCCTCCTGTCCCTGCCACCTTGCCTGACTGCCCCACTGCCTCGTCTGGCTTCTCCCTCTCCTGCACCTCACCTGGTTGCCCCGTCTCAGCTACCTGCTCCCCATTCGGTTTTAATTCCCGGTTCTCGGCGTCTGGCTTGCTCCCCTTCCTATCCTTGCTCTGATACGCACTCCTGCCTCTCGACTTCAGCCTCGTTGACTGCAGCTCCACCTCAGATGCAGCTCCCGGGTCCCGAACAGCGTGTGAACCTCGCCCGCCTCGGGTCCTGCTGCCCTGGTCCCTTGACTTGCGCCCTGCAGCCTGGCGCATTGACCGCTGGCAACTGCCGCAGGAACATCAGGAGTGGATGAGGCCACAGTCCATCTGGCCCAGCTTTCTGTTCACCCAGCGGCCAGCTGACGCCCAGAGACCCACAAGCGGGCCATGAGGGCGACAGCTTCCTCCGGCCCATGTTCCCCAGCAGGTGCCCTGCACAGCCACAGGGCTGAGGTTGGAGGGCGCATGCCCTTTTATGGCCAGCTGTCTCCCCGTTTGTCCCCTGGCCTTTTCGGCCCACCTGGGTGCTCAGGTGGCCCCACGGCATCTTGTTTCCCTGGTCTCTGCACCTGGGCGGGTTACGCACTGCACACCCGTGCGTAACCCGCCTCCCTTCCCCGGGCGACAGGTCCTCCTTCCGCACGGAATCACTTCCTACACCATCTCCGATGCCTTGAGAGGCCTCCGTCACTTCGTCAAGGTGCGGGCCCGGGAGGAGTTCGACCATGGCAGCTGGAGCGAATGGAGCCGGGAAATTACTGGGGTGCCCTGGACAGGTCGGTCGCTCCCCTTGCAGCCCTGAGGCTCGGCCGGGGGCAGGGATCCCGCCGAGATTTCGGGTCCATCGCCCTGGATCCGTTCCCCATTCAGCCTTGCCTTTGTCCTTTTCACATTCCAGAGCCCACTGACCCCGTTTCAGATCCCACTTCAGACGTCACCAAGGTGAGCAGGGGCTTCTGAGTGGCGGCCCCAGGGCATTGCATGTTCTCTCTGCCGGGTGTCGATTCCTTGCCCTCCCCTCTGCTTTCATTTCACCAAAAAGGAAGAATTTATTTTCTGCCATGTCTGCAGTGCAGCATAAGCCCTTTCTGGTTGTGTTCAAACTTTCCTCCAACTTTCCACAGGTGAAAAACGGGGTGCGTTTCAACACCCTGATTCAGGGTCATTAGCCAAACCTCCTCTTCCCTTTCCCCTTAGCAGGTGTTTCACTTTTGGGGCGAGATTTCTGCCAACGTGCATTAGCACATGAGCACGTGACTGCTAGCACACCTGTGCACAAACATACCAATGTGCTTGTGTGCTAATGTGCGTCAGTGGAACAAAACGCTAGGGAAAACAATCCCCGTGTACTCCGTGAATAGACAGCAGAAGGGAAGGAGACCCCTCGACGCTCTGCAGATGACAGAGCAGGGTGAACAAAGTCTATATTCACCCAAGGGAGAACCCTGCTTTGCCTCGGGTCCTGGAGAATCATTCCAAGGCAGAGAAAGCGGACGCTTTGCTGGCCGTTCCGTTCATTCAAGAGGAGACAGAACGGTTGTCCAACCAGAGAGATTCATCAGACTGTTCTGTTCTCTCTCTCTCTCTCTCTCTCTCTCTCTCCCGCAGTTTTCCTTTGACGATTATTTTGTCGGCACCAGCAGCCCTAGGACCTCTGAGGTGCCCCGCAGGGTGATCAAGCCAGCAGGTAAACATGGGTGACGTTGTAGTCACAACACCTCTTTCGACCTTAGGGAGCCTGCGGCTACTGGGGCCAGATCGGGGCCGTGGCACCCCTGCCTTATCCTGTTGCTGCTTGGCAATCCCATTTCTCTGGAGGCACGATCTCGTCAAGCTGAGGTCTGATGGGGTGTGTAACGAGCTAGCATGATTCTCCAGTGGTGGAGTCAACGGGTCACCCCAGCTCCTGCGGGTTCAAATCCCACTTCTGCCACCATGTTCCAGTGATGGTTTCATAGAAGGGCCATCAAGTAACTGAGGAGGGGTTCAAGCAGGAATCGCTGCGATTACCACACTGTCCCCAGCTCGCCCTTTCTTTTTCAATGCCCTGTCAGTGAATATCTTTAAATTCAAATTATAGGGTCGTGTGGTGAGCATGTTTAAGGTCCCATCCCAAGGAGATGGAGATGGGAGGGCAGCAGAGGCGATTATCCCGGTCAAGCAAGAACTGGGGACCCTTCTAGCCACACCTTTAACGTTTAACCCCTCGCCCCGTCTGGCTCTCTCCATTCCAGCGGCCGTTCCTCTGTACAGCTTCCTCATCATGGCGCTCAGCGTGACCGTGGCCCTCGCCCTGGCTGTCGGCATCCTCTTCCGGTGAGGAAGGAGACGAGAGAGAGAGAGAGAGAGAGAGCGAGCATGGGACAGTCGGAATGGGGGACCCAAGAGAAACCTAGGCAGCCTCTTCCCAACTCTCTGTCTGATACAGAGTCTGAAAAGGCTTTGGGGAAAGTGGCGAGGCCCCGAGCAGGTGGGCTTAGGGCGGGGGGGAGAAAGCCCTTTTTCTGTCTGGGACCAGATCCCCTTGGAGGTAAGCTGGAGGGTGGCGTGGCAGCTTCGGATCTTCTCTCTCCCTTTGTGCCGGTGCCCTTTAGCTCTTCTGCGCATTCTGCCACGCTTTTCTCTCTCATTGTAGCTCCTCTGCTCCCTCCCTGGCGTGGTCTTTAAAGCAGGGGTGGGGAATCGGTACAGGGCAGAGATTCCACTTTGGAGAAGCTCTTGGGGGCCATGTTGATGGGGGGCAAAGGGGGCAGGGCCAGAAATCCAAAACAGAGGTAACTGCAGCGGATATGAGCCCGAAGCACTCAGGGGGAATGGCCAGGGAGTCGCCCAAAGATCAGTTGTTGGAAGAAGGGGGTGTGGCCGCCCGTGGAAGGGGAGGGGCCACCTGAGGACAGGGGAGGGGCCCCTAGACCTGAGGCTCCCCAGTCTTGCTTTAAGGCAGCTGCTGGAAGATCTTGATCCCGAGCGTGGCATTTTTGTCCTTCCAGGTACAGAAAGAAACTGCGTCTGCTTCATTCCAGAGGAGGGAAGCCCAGCTCTGCACCCTCCTATTCCCTGGCCACGCTGGGGCCCGAGCCGCCCTTGAGTGCCTTCCCACTGCTCTCCCCGCCAGCCTCACCCTTCAGCGAGACCTCTGCCGACAGCCCCTCTGTCCTGGACCAGAACAGCCCCTACGATGTTTCCAACGCAGATTACTTTCTGCTGCCCAAGTAGGAACTGCTTGGAGACGCTCTGGGCCTCTTGCGGGGCGTTGGCAGAGTTAACCAGAAGCGGCAGCGAGTTCAACCGGGACATAAGCAGAAGCCCCCGTCTGGCCTGTCGCAGTGCCACTGAGTCCCCTTGACGGTGTCACTGGTGGAGGAACCTCAAGGAATGCCCCCAAACTAAGAGAACTGAAGGTGGGCTCGGCTTCTCCATCCATCCAAAGTCCCTTTGGCCGCCTGGAGGATATCCCCAGCACGCTACTTCTGAAGAAAACCGAGATGGAGGTTAATGGGCATCCACCCACCTTGCAGTCCTTGCTGTTGTACTTCACTCACTGTTGTCCAGATGTGGAGGCCCCGGCCTGATGTTTTGCCAGCAAGCGGAGTTGTTGGAGAAAGTGGCTGGCAGCATCCACACCCTCTCCTAGGTCAAGATGTGCCTCAGTTTCACCCTGAGCTTGCGGCCAGAGAAGGGACTGCCTTCCGGGAATTACCTTGTGCAGTTTCTCTGCTCACATCTTCCTCTGTGACCTTAAGAGAGGCCTCGTGGAACGATCCACCACGTCTGAAGCCATACATTGATGGAAGGAGTGGCTTTGGGTCCCCCGGACTTTTGATGCTCGTTTGCAAGGGGAGGTTTCTACAGCGTCTCACGAGACACTTAGATAAGTTACGGGGACCCATGCGTCTGTTTCTGGACTGAATCAGTTTCTTGCAATTTAATGCACATGTCCGTTCTGACTCACTGGTATGAAGGGAAAAGCAGACATCATGTTGAACATTTTTCCCACCCAGTGTGAGTTTTCCAACCGGTTTACCTCAAAAAGCACACTTCTGTATGCACTTGTGTTCGCAGACACACATTTTTGTATGGGAACATGTGAATCAAGGCCAGTCGAAATGGGAATGAAATGGCATCGGAACCTCGCTGTCCGTCTCTCCATCTGACAGAGTCTCTCCAACGAGCGTCTTTTCAGAAGGAGATTTCGCAGCACATGCAATAGACTTTTGTGCTACTGATCCTGAAGAGAGCCAGGGTTGAATCCGGGACCTTCTGTGTGCAAAGCAGAAGTTCTGCCTGCATTTTAGGCCCACTCCCGATGTGCAGGGAGGGGTGAGGGACACAACCCCCAGTGCTATTCGCTGGATGGAGAAGTGATAAAGGGCCTCAGAATAATTTCTCCCCAATTTCAGCGTGCCAATCAGCAGGCGCTTGCCTTGCAGTTCTCTGACTGCCAACGTGACACTGTGCTTTGCACCATGAAAAATGGGGGCGATCCCCTCCCACCAAGCAGCCCGGAATCCAAATTTCAACCCCAAGAGGCAGCACTGCCCCTTCAATTAACTTTGCTGCTCTTGGGATGTTACGACACCCACGGGTTTTGCTGCAAAACATCAGCCCTGAGATGGCCATGCTCTCTCTGTCGTTTTCTTTCCTAAGCACACCGTGTGGGAGAAAGCGACACTTTTGCCGTGCGTGCAGGTTGGCTGCCGGGGTTTTCTTTGCTGCTGCAGTGGAATTTGACCTCACGTGCCGATCACCTACTTTGGAGACGGTGATGAATTTGTTGTGTTTACATCCTCTTTGTGGGCTTTCTGGCAGCAAGTGTTCGGCGACCATGGGAGCAGAACGGTGGCCGAGATGGGCCACCGGAGCGATCCTCCGTGGATCTTTGTGTGTTCTTTCTTCTTAGCTCAGAGAAGGCAAAAAGTTCTGTAGATTTTAGGCGGGAAGCCCAGAAATGATATGCTAAATTGATTTCCTTTTGAACCTGCATGTGTCTGTGTCTGTCTGCAAAGTTCCTGGTAACAGGTAGTCCAAAGTTCAGAGCAAAAAGGCCTAAGGAAGCTGTAGAAAATTGGAGAACAGAAATAATAATAGGCCTGAATAGGTTCAACTTGGTTTTATTGTTCAGTAAATCACTGAGTAAGCTGGCTGCTCACCCTTTCTGCACGTCTCCCCAAGTGAAAGGGACTAGAAACTTGCTCAGGGTTCTTTTTGGTTTAAATCAGAGCTGCCTCTTTTGCTTACAGGCCTGTCTGACCTCACTTCTCGGTTTTGGCATTGTGACTTGGCACTCACCGGAACAGCCTTGTTGTAATCGTGAGCAAATGGCTCGCTTGTTTCCCAGTCGGACTCTTTTGCAGGCGAGCCAGCTGGAAACCGGTTTTAGCCAATTGCCGTGTGACAGTCGGGACTGATGTACCCTCAGTAAGAGACCGGTGGCCCTTTCAGAAGTACGAGGAAATGTGGCTGCTGTTTTCTACCTGAATTGCTTGCCAGCAGAGGTCTGACCATCCATGGTGCTGACTCCATTTCGTTGGGGTAAAGAAACAGTTCCTTTAAAGTTCCACCTAAATCTGGATCCATGGTCGCATTGACATGGGCTCACTGTGGGTTGTTTTGAACCGTGATACACCCCAGTGAATGCCCAGGGTTCCCAGCTCAGGGACAAACCAGGGGTTGTTCGTGGTTAAATAATCATGGCTTCTCAATGCATGAGTCTTTGTGTCATCCAAATTCAGTCACCGAGCAAGCTAGCATTCATCAGAGGATTTAATTCTGCCACCAGTTGCTTGGATCAGGATAAAGGGCTTTTAAAAATCACACTACATGTGTTACGTGGCTTGTCCACACCACAAACACAATATTTGCCTTGTCCTTTGAAAGTCACCCTTAATAATGAAGGATAATCTATCAAATAATGGAGTGTAATAATGACAGATAGTCTCTGTCAGTACTTTCTGCATTGAATTTCCCTCTGACCTCAATGTTTACACTTCTTCTCATCCGCTAGGCTGTATTAACCTGAAACTTTCTCCAAAATTCCTGTGCCTCTGATGAAGTTAGCTGCGTTCCACAAAGGCTTAACGCCACAGCAAATGTGCGAGCTTTCCGGCGCTTCAAAGAGACTGTTGTTTTCACTGAACTTGTAGGTGACGGCACATTTGATCTTAATCTTCTGGGACTCGGTCAGAATCATGGCTTTCTTTCCCCACCCACAACTGATGAACCCAGTTTCCTGGGTTGCATGAGAGCAGAAGAGCCAAGGAGACGGCGCCGCCGTCATGCGGTTCTCTTGCGAATGTTTGCTGGGGACTTTGTGTATTTGTCTTGCGCTTTCCCAGTTTACCGTTTTTTCATCAGTTCTTCTGGGTGCCTTCGCTTGTCGTGCCAAACTATCCTAGCTGCTTGTTTTGTGAATAAACCCTCATGTACCTTACAGACAACCGGAGTCTTTATGGGTTGCTGTTTGCCTCCTTGGTTGTCCAGCCGATATCCTGGTTGGCTGAAGTCACCTTTCCTCCTCTCCCTGCTGCGATTGCAGGCGGCGTTTGGGCTCACCGTGGCTTTGTCCCAATCTACCTTTTAATGATGCTGGGAACGATTGAGGGCAAAAGGAGAAGGGGACGGCAGAGGATGAGGTGGCCGGATGGGGCCCCTGGGGCGGTGGGAGTGGGCTTGGGTGGACTCCAAGGGATGGTGGAGGACAGGAGAGCCTGGAGGAAGGTTGTCTGTGGGGTCCTGGTGGGTCCTGATTTTGCGACTAAACAACAAACAAGCTTTTTAATTTTCCTGATCACAAAAAGCCATCTCCAAACTGACCGCCGGTGACAACCGTTCCAAAGTGCCAAGGTGGCGGTCACAGCCCGGCCACCCCCTTAAAAGAATTGCACTCCAGATGCGCACATCTTTTCCCAAGGGAATGAAGGCCGAGTTTGTCACACTGAGAATGCTGGCAACTGAAATACGTCTCCGAGTTCAAGGATGCTTTTCTGGCACACACTGGCTCTGTCTCTCCCCCTCTCTCTCCTTGGGTCAGTGGGTGTAACTTGCGTGTGAGAAAAAGGGAGACGGAGAAAACCATTGGGCAATCTTCCGGGGAGGGGGCCCGGCAGGTTCACGATACGGGAGGGTGGGGGGCACTGGTGGTGCAACCACTGGTCCCAGCAGCTGCTTCCCACTGTCTTCCAGTTCTTCTTTTGCGCCTCTTGTCGGTGATAAACAGCCGGTAGAGGAAGTGTGTGACTTTCTCAGGGGGGAAGTGAAATCCCACGGGTGTTTTGAGGGCCGGAGCTCCTTCTGACCTCCTGGCCAACGAACTGGGCCTGTTCGTGTGTGCACATCACTCCGGCTGGCCCTCAGGCTGCCTGGACCAGTGCAGCCGGCACAGGCGGGCAGCCGCAGCAGCCCCCCAGGGCTTCAGACATACCCCTTCTGGATATGCAGGGACTGAACTTGCGGACCTGCTCCCTTTCTTAAACCAGGGTTTATTAATTGATTAAATTATTTATCCCTGTGCTGCCCCACCGTCGAGGCGCTCAGTTCATAAAAATCAGTCCAGGAGTAAAAGTGTCCCGGCCAGCTGTATTCTGGATGGGTTCTGTCATCCAGGACTGGTTCTACACCTTTCCTGTGTCAGTGGCATCATTTCTGATTTAGTAGTGGAGGCATTTCCCCCTCTCGTATCATCAGTCATCAGTTTTCCACTTCACCCTGCAGATGCTTTGCTTTAATCCCCCTCCACCGGCAGCCCCAGCACAGCACGATGATTGCGATGGGTAGGAATTGGTTCTGCACCTGTGTCGGCCCTGCAAAAACAGAGACTTTCATACCTATTAATAGGCTTGCCACTGTCAGACCTGGCCGAGGAGCTTGTCAGAAACGCTGAAAAATTCCTCGTAATCTCAGCAGTCTAAAATTGAGTCAACAGGGTTATAAACAGACTGGGGGCTGCCCCCACAAAGAGTACTTCCGCCAAACGAAAACCACAGGCAGGGCCAGATTTGGGGTGCTTCCTGGAGAGGCTTTTATGGGGCTGCTGCCCTCCCATATTCTTCGGATTTTGTTCCAGGGTTGTGAAGATCACTTCTCCCAGTTGTAATGCCCTGCGTCTTTCCTTCTGCTTTTTCCGTCCTTTGCCTTAGAAAAATCTATTCAGGAGGCAGAGATGGAATCGTGGCTCAGCTTGGGACTGTGGGTGTTTGGAGACCCCCACCTGCCGAGCAAGAAGGAAGTCTCCCGCTTAAGATCGTTGCCTGCTATTCTCAGAAGAACACAATTTCAACCTATATATATTCCAAAGTCCACATACAAATCTATGTCCCGCTTTCCATCTGTCCCTGCTTTTCTTTGATTGCCCCTCTAGCCACCTATCTTCTGCCTAGATAACAAAAAGACCCCACAGGCTTTTGTTAAAAGGTGCCTGCATTTGCTTTTCCTAAGTCTGATACACGCTCATGTCCTCTGTTTCCTTTTCAGAGACCGTGTCTCCCGGGGGCATCCCTGTTTGTAAGAAAAGGAGCGTGCGGACAGGGGAGGGGAGTTTCAAAGCGGGGGCAGTAAAAAGCCAGCTCTTCCAGGGGATCAGATCCCATAGCGTTCAGCCTGGACAGCAGGGTAGCGGGGAGGCAGGGGGTTCAAATGAATGATTTGGGGCATCAGTCCGAACGAGCCTCATGCTAGCACCACTTCGGGAAGTAGTGGGGGAAAGCCTCTTTCCAGGAAAACTGATCATCTTTCAGGTGTGCTTTCTCATTTGTGCGTCTGGTTTGTGGTTCTCTGAAACATCTGGACAATATTTGTGGGTGATGATTTTGTGGAAAGGATGTGGATGGGGCAGGTTAATTTTCTGAGGCTCGGGCCTAGTTCGAGGGTGGACAAGTTGCAAGAAAGTCTGGCCTTTGTTCGAAGCAAATCCTTTTTTCCCTTCCTACAAGAATTCCTTGAATGTCGTCTCACCCAGTACAGGGGTACCGAGTGGAGTGCTACTTTAGTATCCTCCGGGGTCCTTCCTGCCCGAAGATGTTTTGATTCCAAAAAGTCAGCTCTCTTGGCCCACTTGAAGCAAACCGTTAACCACAACAACTTATATAAACACAAGATTGTTTTCTTGCTCATTTCCTTCCTAAACTTGAGAACATCAATGCTTTTTTCATCCTCTCTGCAGTCCGCAAGTCCGCTTTAACTTCTCCTAAAGGCAGCCCATGTTGCAATCGGTTAGTTCCCCAAAAAAAACCTGAGGTGGTGTTACTTCCCACTTTTTCAGCAGTTCTTCAGGGGCCCAAATCGGGCTGGGGGGGATTGAACCGTCGGCCTGATGGGTCTTGGTGCTCGGGGGGGGGGACCTACTCAGGTGTCTGCAAAGGGAAAATGCATGCGAAGTGGGGAGACCTGGGCCGAAAGCAACCTCCCAAAGAGAAGCGTGTTTGCAGAGTTAGCCGAATGTTAGAGGGAAGTGGCGTGGGGCGAATTTGGCAGGTCTGTAGGGTTGTACCGCGAGTTTTCAGAAAGCTACAGGGTGGCCGCTGTCCTCATCATCACAGCCTTCCTGTCAGGCTGTTCTGTGTTGATAGAGAAGATACTGCTGGGTTATTATGGGTTAGCTGCAGCCACCCTTATCTGAGCATGGTAAGCCACCACAAGGTGTTGGATTGGGACTTGGGAGACCTGGGTTTGGGTCCCCGTGCTTGGATATGCAGCTTACTGGTGGATTTTGGAACGGTGGCTCTCTGCCTGACCTACCTCGCAGGGTTGTTGTGAGGATAAAATGGAGAGGAGGGGCAAGCTCATGAGGCTACCTTGTAGGGTCTTGATGGCACAAGCACAGTTTCTGCCCACAAAAAGACCCAAAAATGTCTCCAACACGCACATAATCAGGGTACAGATGGCCAGACCAGATGCGGTTCCTGCTCCATTTTAGTTGGGGACGCCAAGAACCGACCTGTGTGATTTTTAGCATGCAACCCACATTTTCATTAATGTATTTAATTCTCATACTGCCCTATAGCAAAGAGGTCCATAAAGTGGATGCCAGGCGGCGGGCTTCAGTGGGCAGCCCATTCCATAATTTGGGGGCTGCGACAGAGAAGGCCCTGCTTCTTGTCACCAACCAAGCCTCCCTTCAAGGCAGCGTCTGGAGGAAGGCCTCAGATGTCGAGGGTAGTGTAGATGGTGGTTGGAAGAAGCATTCCATCAAGTATTGTGGCCCCAAGCCAAGTAAGTTTCTAGTCCTCTTGGTTCTGAATAAGGAGTGACATAACCAGGAAGCTGACTTGTACAGGAACAAAGTTACAGGATTGAACCAGGGACTGTCTGCATGCAAATTAAGTGCTCCAGTATTGCAAAGTGGCCCTTCCGCCCCTAGTACATTTCAGTCCTTCTTGTTCTGAACAAAATTTGCTTTTTTTTTTTTGAAAGGAAGTTCTCCTCTACTGAGTCAGTCCATTGACCCATCAGCCCAGGCTTACTCATGCTTACTGGTAGCAGCAGCCTTTCTCAACCTGCTGTTCCCCTGATCATTTGGACTACAGCTCCCATCAGTTCTACAGCATATGCCTTCTCCTCACACCGCAGCGAAGCAGCTGCCCGTGGGAACCCACAAGTGGGACATGGGCGCAATTGCACCTCCCGCCCATGTTCCCCAGCTGCTGGTGCACCGAGGCCTCTGATCCTGGAGGGAGCCATGGAGAGCCTCTTCCAGAAATGGGTCCAATCGCCTTTTAAAGCCACCCAGATCAGTGGCTGCCACTGCATCTTGTGGAAGTGAATCCCAGAGTTTATCTCCAGGCTGTGGGGAAAATCCTTCCTGGCGTTGTGTCCTGAATCTTCCCCTTTCCATCAGCTGCATCCAAGGCCAACCAGCTGCCCCCACAATCCCACAAGCAGGACAGCACTCTCCTACCCATGTTCCACAGCAGCTGGAGGACAGAGGCCTAGTACCTCTGATGATGAAGGCAGGGTTTCATGTGTGCCCCTCTCTGCCCTCAGAAGATGACTAAATTTGTGTCAGAAATGCAAATTCGGCACATTCAAATCAAAAATGAATCAGAACCTTCTCAAGCAAAACCGGTAAAGAAACCTCCTCATGTTTTAGGATAAATTAGCACACCAAGTTCCTGGAATGTAAAATGGTAGAGATCCTGTTACCTTCACTGCTGGACTTGAACTCCCATCAGCACAAACTAGCATGGCCAATTATCAGGGATGATGGGAACTATAGTCAAAGACATCCAGAAGATTAACAGTTCCTTCACAGAAGGCAAGTGGGAAACGTGGCAGAAATATACCCCACTCTTTATTTAGAGATTTAAGGTGCAATCCTATTTGTTTCTACACTGAAAAAAATTCCTACAAAATCCAGCATGGGTAGCTCGGGATACTGGTCAGTTTAAGGGCTTTTTTCTGTGGAATCTTGCATAGGAGTTTCAACCTTCTTTGAATTCAATCC